ACCTTAGGATGAGTCAGCAGTGCCCTTTCAGTGTTTTCTGTCTTACTAATATTTAGCTTGAAGTAAAGAATTTTTCTTTTTTTTTCACACTACTCAGAAAGACGCCACATCATTCCTGTCTCATCGGCTTCCAGGCAGTTGAGCACTTAGTAGATTCAGCTGTTGTTGCGTATCAGCCAAAAAGCACTGGAGAGGGAGTTTATAGCCTTCATGCTCCTTGGAGGCTTTAGTCTAAGACCCAGACCTCTGCTGAACATGCACAGGTAGACACAGAGGTGTTTACCCCAGCACACCTGGGAGGTGGCTGGGTGGAAGGTTCCTTAGATCACCAGTGACCAGCAGAACTGATCTGCTTATATCTGTTTAAGGTGCTCAGCTATGGTGGATATGGATGATGGCTTCCCCACATGCAAACCAAGGGTTTATTCAGAGTACTCTCCCTTCTGCACTTCTTATTCTCAAACTAGCAGCGCTATTTAATGACTGAACTATTTATATATTGAATTCAGGAGCTTCTGGCGAACAGGGTTTAGAACAGGGGATTGCTCACTTTTGGACGGGATCAGACTCAGAAGGATAGAGACAAAAACCAACACACAAAATCAGATCCAGGCTCTTTCCTCCTACCTGGGATGAATACTCAACAGTGGGGCAGTCCCAACGCTCTGCACACATAAGGAAACCTGCTTATTTACCCTATACATCCCACCAGCCTCTCAGTGCCTCAGTAGCAGATGTCCAACTTCTCAATGCTTCTCCTACCTTGGGCAGGCATCGCCGAAGGAATGCACCAGCTTTACCCTCTCTCCTTCTGGGGAGGGGGGTGAATGCACACTGCACTGCCAGTGAACATTTCCCTTTCCTACACCCAGGGTGGGATCAAGCACAACTTCAAGAGGACAAAGGGAGGTGGAGGAGAGTAATGCAAGAGTTCAAGGAAGAAGAAACACAGCCAGACAAAAGCTACCTGGGCAACTCCCCCAAGGTCATTGCTTGTAGGAGGGGAGATGAGCAGCTTCTCACCATGCAATGGACATGGGACCCACCTCATTGAGAGGAGCCTTATGGTGAGCAAAATCTTTGTACACTGTTTCATGAAGCAAACTACAACTTTCCTCAAGTCATGTCATTCGTCCTATATGCCACTTTCATGTTAAAAAGTTGGCCCACCTTTGCTGTCTCAGGATCCTACAAACATGCGCTCTCTCTCAAACTCCTCCGGAGAGAGAGGGTTGGGTGAATTGAAGAGTTTTCCCAGCGGTGCCTAGGAAGCCCATGGTTGTGGCAGAAGCTGACTGCTCTCTTCTGAGTCTTTATTCGCTCCAGCTCCTCACTAGCTAACTAGTTTGTCACATAAGCACAGAAATTCTCTCTTTGTAAACATAGACCCAACTGAAAAGTTCATTTGTGTGAATCTCCATAAAGTTGGAAATAATCTGGACCATGATTTTTGCTTATGTAAATGTCAGCACACAAAAAATTAGGTTCAGATCAAAAAGACAAGTCGTAGTTAATACCCAGAGTAAAATGCACACGTTCCTTCCAGGCCTTCATTAGCTTTCTCTGAACATTTGCTGAACAAGAAAATTCCATCCATAAAAGTGACTACAGACATTAAAAATCCTCTGAATTCTCAGATAAGCGCGTGCTCCATTTCAAAGGGCACCCTCGTACTGTTTTGTGACCGTGGGAGTCATCCAATTAGAGACCAGCAAAAAGCAACAGAAAAGCAGAAAGTAAAACCCGAAAGACTTGTGCAATGAGCTAAGGAGGAATAATAAACTTTTAGAAAGAACAAAGCACACGTACAGTTCTCGATCAGTTTTAGGCCAAAAGAAGACCGAATAGACAGATTTGGACAAACCCAAGTCTCCTCACAGATACTTTATGAATTACAAAGAGAAGAAAACTAAGTAAGGCCACTATCTGCTGTGATGACTCCCCGATCCCATTCAGCATCCCCAAGGCACTACTTTCAACCACTGTCTGAAACAAGCGTCCCATGGTTGACGCAACGTAGCTTTGTGCAACTGCAACGCCAGCTAAAAGTGGCTGAAAAACACTACAAGGCCAGCAAGGTGCGTGACCTGGAAAGTGAGGAGTCGCTGTAGGAGGCAGATTGGGCCACGTTTGGGACAGCTCTTCTTGCACAAAGAGGACTAAGAGGGGGCCCAGTGTTATTTCCAGAATGGCACTGCAGAGAAACGTCATTCAAAAGGAACGACTGCGTAAAATAGTTCCTTTACCAGACTGGAGGCAGTGTTGTTTAGCTTGTTTTCATGGCCAACTCTTACAAAAATAAATAAATATACATACATAGAAAATGAGGGTTGCCATACCACAGAGAGCTGTTATTTCCAATATGCTCTACACCACATGATTCAAAAAACAAAAACACAGCAATGGTATGATCAGATTGCTCATTTGATCTTTACAGAATGGAGCTTTTTAAGAGATTCAGTTTTTTAAAGATTACTTCAACTCCCACTGAAATCCAGCCAAGTCCTGTAACGCAGAAAAAAATCCATAGCTGACTGCACCCAAACTGTGGTTTAGTTTCTCTCTTTGGCCAAACGCTTCCCGATGCTCCCTGAGGTGCAGGTTTTCCACGTGGTACACTATAGGATACCATATTCTAGCATTTTGTACATGCTAAACCGCAGATCAGATTTAAAACAAAACACAACCTTATGCAACAGAAAGAATTCTCTCAGTGGATGCGTTTGGCAGAGAGCTTGTCTAAGAGCATATGGTGGGTTTTGTTAGACACTTCACACCAGCACGCAACTTCCCTATCCTAAAAGCAAAAAAAAGAAGTGAGCTCATCTTTGCATACTTCAAGCAGGCACTAGGATTTTAGCTTTAGGTATACTTCAAGTGCCCAGAACGAATGTCGATTTGGGCACAGAAAACTCCTGGTGGGGAAGCCGGTCCAGCTGCCTCCGCATCCTCAGTCCTATGTACTGTCTCAGCACACTTGACTGTTTCCTTTTAGTGCCGGTGGGTGGTGATGGGGGTTCACCTGGCCCCCCCCATCTTGCTCTAAACCCATGTCTTGCTGAAGCACAACACACCGACATCACTCAGAGAACAGAGCACATCGTACTTTTCTAAAAATCACACATACCAAATATATACTTGACCCAAAGTTACATAACCGCTGCACCAGAGCTATTTTTTAGCCAGACTCATCAGTGTTGCTATAAATCACCCCGGTATGCAGAGGCCAGACAAGATGTCACACATTTATGTGCTGCTGCTCTAAGAAAACGTTTGTGATATGGGCAACATAGCTATTACCTCTCTGCCTCCCCTAGTCTTTATGTGCATGACTGCTCTTCAGCACTAAGCAGACTCCTGTACTACACTGTAAACATACTCCAAGTGCCCACAGCAGCCTACAGACGAGACAGCACATTCAGAGCTGTCCTTATACTGGCAGCTCCTGTTACAAGCACCAGCTAGCTCCAAAAGCAGCCCCCAGAGCACATCGGAGCAGGGAGTCCCACGTTAATCTCCACAGAAGAAGGGTAATAACTTATAATTTCAGCTCTCCCTCTGTATTTGCAGGAATGGTAGATGGCATCATGATTAGTTGTCCAATACCAAGGTCCTAGTATGAGGTCTCCTGTCTTGAACTGCAGCTATTGCCCCTTTTTAAGTAAGTGCCTAAATCTTCCTGCAAACTTCTGCCCTAGCAATAACCAGAAGCTGCCAGTTTCACAGTTTGATTGCAAATAACACCCAGCTTTCTACCTGACTCCTTGTTATTCTTTTGTTTCACCTTCTTTGTCACCCAACAGTGGTGCTTCAACATCTTGTGGTGCTAGGCACTTTCACAGGCAGGACAGGTTTTTCATGCAAGTGTACAAAGTAGCAATATAAAGCTGCTATAAAGCTACGCAGCTGAGTGCTCATTTTGTACAGAACCTTCCCCAATGCACAGACACTGAGACAACTACTATGCACCAGGAAAGGTCCGTTTCATTCCTGCACCTGCCTCACATCCTCGGTGCAGAAGTATAACCAGCAATAGCTCCAATTCAGTACGGAGACACAGTGCACAGCGGCTTTCGGTTCAACATGGCACAGAATCGTGCATTAGCTTCATATTCAAAACTCAGAGAGGGAATCACACTGACATTGCCAAATACATTAACTCTGCTAATTCTGATACACAAAAACTTGCAGACATTAAAGCTACAGAGATTGGAAGCAATAAAGGGGACTCTTGATTGAGATTACGTTCCCAATTGTGAATCTACAGGGAACAATTTTAAAAAAATTAGCTTCCACAGTCAGTGTTTCAATTAGGCACCTCACCTAGGTTTCTTACATCTTTACAACATGTTTCTCTATCCTGCACAGCATCTTTAAAATTCCCTTTCTACATCTCAGAATTACTGAACCTGGTGAGATTTTAATAGAAATTCCTTTGCTACGCTATAAAGAGAAGCATTACTTGAGATTTTAATTAGCAGCTGTCAATACTGAGCCATAGGAAATACTGAATAGTTTGCTTAACTTATTAGAGAAAGCGCATTTTGCTTTCTGACCTTCTGCACCTAAATGATGCAACATACTTCAGCCGTTCAAAAACTCCCTTCCAAAAAACCAACTCTGTAGTAGTAAAAGCCATTCCCTCGATCAATATACAGCCTGCTGCTTCAGCCCGTATTCACCCACTGAACACCCTTCCCATTTGATGCAGAAATCACGACACTGTAATTTCCTGACCAGTACTATAAACCTGAAAGGCAGCATTACATTATTACGCTTTCCTCCCATCCCGTGCAAAGTACTCCGAGTTTTAAACACAAACGGAACTTGGAAATCAGATACGAAATTGATTCAGTCTGTTGAGACTCCGTTTGCACGATAACACAGGAAAACGCATGGTTCTACCACGCAAACTTCAAGCAAGCCGTGCACCCGCTCTTTGCCTCCTTTCACCACCTGTGACCGTACCCAAAAGGCATTAAGAGCAGAACTATTCCTACCATTCAGCTGCCTGTAGACTATATCTTCTAGGAGGGAGAGTCTCTTCAGCACCGCATCCTGGATGGAGCTGATGCCGCGGGCTGTCAAGTTGGCCACTTCTGCCCTGGGATGGATGTCATGGAAGGAGTCGCCGCTCTTGGCCGTGATGGGTCTGCACTTGGCCAGGAAGAGGACGAAGCCAGCCACCGCGATCAAGTTTAACACCAGCAGGACTTTGACTCTCCTCA